ATGTCTAGTTTCTTGCGAAGTGTCTATTAAAACCCTCCCCCACTTTTCCGTTGGGCTGCCGTCTTCTTATTGAGTTGTAAAAGTTCTTTATATATATTTGGATACAGGCCCTTGTTCGGATTTTTGCTTGGTTAGTATTCTCTTCCAGTCTTTCCAAGAATTTTGATCAAGTCCAATTTATCTGTTTTTTCTTTTATGGTTAGCACTTTTTGTGTTTCCTCAAAAGGGCTTTTCTTTCTCCATTGGATCATCTTCGTTGTGTCTGTTTTGGGGATGCCATTGATGTGTGTGTATATTTTTAGGAACAGAATGCTGTTCTGAGCTCTGATCTTGTCTCCTCACCTGAACAAGACCACTGCAGTCCTCTGGTCCTCTGGGTTACCCCTCCCTGTGCTCAGGCAGGGACCCATGGGAGGCAGATGCTGAGGTGGTCATGGGATCACCATCTTGGATGTTCCTTGTAGTCAAGTGTCTGTTGCTTCTTCAGTTTTGTTCAGTTTTCTGGGCACTTCATTTCTGTCACCCACAATGCCTGGCATACAGGAGCTCCATACACGCTTGCTGAGTGGGTGAGTCACTGTCGTCAGCACCTCCAAACACTCTCCACTGTAGCTTGTCTTGAATCTGGAAGGGATCCCCGGAGGTCAAGCAGTCCATCCCCTTAATTTTACCAGGGTAGTCAGTGGTCCGGAATTCCCATCCTCTGCACCAGCCCACTTGGGTTCAACACTGCCTATTACATGGGGAGACTGAGGTCCAGAGAAGTAAAAGTCGTGGCAGGCAGTGGCTGAGCTTGCACAACTGGCCTCCTCGGCCAGGATCTTTCTGTAGTCTTCATTGGCACATCGGGCACCGTCCCTTTGATTGCTGTCTGACTCCAACACCTACCACAGGGTGTGTACATCACAGGCTCCTGATACATGCTTCTTAAATAAATGACCAAGGAATAAATTAAATAATTTCTTTCAATGCTTCGTTCACCTGGGTTCTGCAAATTGTCTTAAACCTGTGCGTGCTTGTGCAATCTCGGGGACACAGGGCCAGCCCTGGCCCTTCCTATCCAGGTTCGGAGGTCATATAACCTATTAGTAAATCTTGTTTTGTTTTGTTTTGCTTTAATTTTCTCAGCCACCCTCCAGGCTTAATCCCCACTAGGGGGCATATGTATCCCACAGAGAGGGTCCCGCACCCTTAGGTACCAGTTTATGACTAAAGTCAGCAGGTCTTGAAGTCACCTCCTTAAAGCCCTGCACCCTCCCCCTGTAAAAACAAACAACAAAGCCTTCCTCCTCTAGCTCCTCCTTCTCTGGCTGGGCTGCTGGCTGCCACCCTCGCTTACCCCCATGGCTCTGCCCCTGGTTGGAGGAAACAACAGAGCAACAGCAGCAATGAGTGACAACCTTGATATCTGTCATCCCTGCCAGTGGCCACTGCTTCCTCCCTGAGGAGCATGACAGATCCTGGAAAGGTGGCTCTGGTCACTGCCCTCGGGGCCCAGAGTCTGGTCCAGCCTGGAATGATGAGTTTCTGCAGACTGAGCAGCGGCAGTATCACCAGGGAGGGTTGCCAGCTCTCATGCCCTGTGCCCTGGTGGACAGGTCACACTCCCAGGATGTCCTCGAGGCCCAACACCTTCACAGGCTTTTACATCACCTTGCTGGGGAACACGTCCTGGCTTCACTACTCCCTGTGGGTGACCTTGAGCAAGCACTTTCCTTATTGGGTAAATGAGACTGACAACAGTTCCTGCCCCATAAATGAGACAATGCATATAAATAAAGCACTTGGCACAGCGCCTAGCACATAAGAAGCGTTTGAGACACATTAGCCATTATTAATAATAATATTAGTATCATTATATTACTGTAAACCTTGGCCATTTCCCTCCTTTTGAGGCTCACAAAGAAGCATTACTTCCCTCTGGCTCAAGGTCTTGGGCTTCTTCCCGACTGAGGTTCTATAAAGGTCCCCGGGCACCCCTGGGACCAGCTCCTGTGCCATGATGCCCGCCTCAGATCAAGTACCACGCCTGCCTGGTCTTGGACCAAGGCCTGTGCCCAGGACCATCCTGCCCACATCTGCACAGCCACACAGTTCGGGATGGGCGGGGTGCTCCCCGTGGCGGCATTTGCACCCTGGGGTGACACAGGGCAGTGGCAGCTGCTGCAGCTGCTCCGTCTGCCTCCCTTTCTCCCCCACCCCCACCCCCGCCACCTCATTAGCTCTCTGGTCATGTTCCCATCTCCAGGAGAGACTGGCAGCAGCCACAGAAGTAGCAGACAACAGCACCTCCCTGCTCCCGCCTGCCGCCCTCGGCCACCCTGCAGCTCAGAACCGCCTTTTCCCTGTCACTCAGGCTCCAGCCAGTAGAGAGATTAGCATTCAGACAGAGGACCATAAAGGCACCAGGGCCATGGCCTCCTGTCTTCTCTAGGAGCTGAGATTCATTCGGGGACGCAGAGCCAGTTGGAGGGAAGGTGTCCAGGTCAGGACTCCCACTGGAGGTGGGGACAGGGTTCCAGGCACCCAGAGGCAACCGTGGTGCTCCATCGTCCAGCCTTCCCGGGTGCTGGGTCCTACCAGGTGCCCCTGTGCTGGGCTCTGGTTTGTTCCAGAACTGCCCATCACCCTGCTGTTGTGTATGTGGAAAGACAGGGCAGGAAGGACCATGGGGTGAGGAGGTAAAGGACTAGCTGTTCTGAACCTACTATTGTTGCAAGGTGACCAGTTGTTCAGTGGCTGACAGCTCACAAACACTGTCCCCCCACCCTGGGCTCAGATATACTGTGCGCTTACTAAGTGCGCAAAGCACTTTATACCCATTATCTAATTTAACCCTTACAACTCTGAGACAGGTTTACATTCAGTAACCCACCCGAGGCCACAGAACTGGGAAGTGATGGTGGAGTCAAGATTCAAATCCAGAGCTTGGAGCTGGACTCCCCGAGCTTAAATTCTACATTATCTCATGCACCCTGAGGCCAGAGGCGCCCAGGCTCTCTCGGCCCTCTCTCTCTGGTTGCCCTTAATCCCTTCCCTCCTCTTATGGTCAAGTCTGCCAAGCCCCCGGGCTTTCCTTCCTGCCCCCATTCCCAAGCAGCAGCTGTTTTCCAAGGAAATCGGGGGTGGGTGGATTCAGCCTCTTGGGGACACTGGGTCCCCCCCCACGACGGGAGATAGTGGGCCGAGAAGGGAGCGCCTGGGCCCTGGCAGCCTTCTGTAGAGGAGCGCTCTGCTGAGGGCGGCAACTTCCTGCAGCAGGAGAGGAGCTGCAAACGTGCCCGTGGTGCAGAGAGAGCCCAGGGGTGGGAGAGTCCCGGGGAATAAGAGGCGAGCGTGGGCTGGGTGTGTGGGGAAGGTGTAAACACAATCTGCTCCCACCGAAGCCAGCCTGCTCCCTGGGGGAGAGGGCCCCTCCCGCCCAGCCCACATGGCACCCCAGCTGCCAGGGCCCGGGCAACCGCCAAGGCCAGCCGACACAGTCCCCCCATCGCCAGCAGCCCTTCCCTTCGCCTTCTCTCCTTCCCTCTGGGACCAAGGCCCGGAGGAGCCACCCTCTCCTGAGCAGGTCCCTAGAACAGTGCGGTGAAGGGGTGTCGCCTCATGGAGGTGTGTCTGGGCCGCGGGCCAGCCCCTGTCCAGCCAGGTGACCTTGGCCTGACAATTCCTCAGACTAGTGCAAGGAGGCAGGCAACGTGGAAATGGTAGAGAGCAGAGCCGAGGCTGAAGTGACAGAAGCATGGCAAACAGATTAGAGGATGAATACACAGGTGGGCTTGGGGACGCAGACGGGGGCCCCAGGAACGGTGCCCCTGGCCCTCAGCCCGACAGCCCTGTCACCAAGGAAGGCCAACACCTCACAGGAGAAAGACAGGCTGACAGGAGCTGAGACAGGTGGTCACGAACTCCTGGCCCATGTCAAGTGGGCGGTGGGGCTCTGTTGCCATTCCAGGGCACAGCTCCTTCCCCTGGTTTGACCCTTCCCCTGCCTCCACCCTGCCCTACTTCTAGAGGCTTCCATGGCAAGATCAGCAGCCCCTCCCCCATGGCTTCAGCGTGGTCCCCTCTGTCTGCGGCATCTCACCCTTTCCTTCCTTCCCTCAGATGTGGAGTCAGGGCGGCAGACAGGCTGCTGCGAGAGAACTCCCCATCTCCTGCCTCTTGATGGCCTGGGGGTGGGGTGCAGGGAGGCAGGGACCTCCCCGCCCACCCTGGGGGCTGGATGGCAATGGTGGGGGACGATGCACGTGCAGGCAGGGGTTTGGTGGGGAGGCGCTTTGCATGATGAATGGCTTCCAGACAGTCCGGAGCAGCTGCCTGCAGGTCTGCGCCTGGATCTCAGGGAGCAGAGGCAGAAATCTGCTTTGATCTCTGCTCTGGGTCGAGCAGGACTGTGAGGGAGAAATGGCAGAGCCGCCGTGGTACTGAGCAGTCAGCAGATTGACAAGAACAAGTGTCAGGCTTCTTCCCTTCCCACATGCGACTGCCCCTTTGGAACACATGCACGCATGCACACAGGCGCGCAGAAGACACGCTCAGAGGACAGGTTGAGAGATGCTTCCTTCCAGCCGCAGGCAGACATGTCACAGATCCCAGCTGGCATTTCTTATTGAGAACTGCAGCAGAGTGGCTGGTGACGGGGTGAGCTCTGGGGACCGGGGAGAGGCAAGTGCCCTGGAAACTAGAGCGCCACCATGGCAAACTGTTACCACACAGCCTTGGACCACAGGCTTTGGGGCTGCCGGGCCCGTGGAACCCCTGCTCTCACATAGCAGCTGCAAGCTGCAAACTTCCAGGTGGTTTCAGAGAGGCCTGTGCCCTGGTGGGTAAGAGTGTGGGCTCTGCAGCCTCCATAGGAGGCTGGGAGGGCGGGGGTGGGGGGACAGGATTAACTAGCTGGATGACACTGGACAGATTCCTTAACCTCTGTTTCCTCATTTCCAAAAGTGTGGATAATAATACGCCCGGTCTTCTTGGGTCATTGCAAGGATTATATTAGGGATGAATGAGAAGCCCTTCCATAAGAAACCTGAGTCCCTCTCTGGGCCTGCCTCAGACTATCCTCAGGACCTCAGAGGAAGGGAGCCCAAGCCAGGGCAAGGAGCCTCTTTGCCCTCCAGCCTGCCCCAGCCCTGCCTTGCTTCAGGAGCCCCACCACCAGGGTCTGGGGCAAAGGGAGGCCAGGCAGGTCCAGGGACTCAAAGGGAGGAGTCTACCTTCTTGATGACTGCTTTTTCCCATTTTTCTTCTTGCTGCTACTGCTGCTTCCACCACAGCATGCTTTGTGGGTAAGAGGCCAGCCGGGACTTGAACTGAAATAGAAAACCAGATTGGCACTTCCTCCCATCCCAAGGCAGGGTCTTGCATTGCAGAATGGATATTCCAGAGCACACCCTCTCCCTTAGAAGTCCTCCGGCACTACAGTGCCAGCATGACCACCACTTCACCACACGCCCTTCCCTTAAAACTAACAAAGCCTTGCGCCATGGCCCGGACCACAGCAGGCTCGAGACAGGAGCTGATGAGAGGCCACCCGCCTTCTGTGTACCCTCCATGGAGCTCTGCTCCCTCATGGCCAGGCCTTGCAGAGCCTGCCTTGTTCCCAGCCCAGCCCTCTACCTTCCAAGGCTTGCAGCCCTGCCCTACCTGCCTCTGCCAGCTGATCCCAGTCCCTGGGGCCGAGCTCCGCCTGACCGGGTGAAGACTTACTTCAGAGGCTCTTCCTTTCTAAACAGAAAAGCATGGGAGTCAGCGGATTGAAAGGGACGTCCTTCCCGTGTTTCCCGATTTCTTCCCTTTGCCCCATGCCTAGAGAGGCACCCCACTACTGAGGGGTAGGAGCAGCCAGGAAATCAGCTGGAATTTGTGACTGTGGAATTGCAGAGCAGAAATGTCATGCCTACTGCTCCCCAGACCAGCCCTTCACAACAGCCACCCGAAGCAGGAGGTGTTGGATGTTAGGCTGATTTTTCCAGTTAACTGGGTCCCTGGGAGTTAACAGGCAACTGCTTCCTTCTGGCTAGACCCCACGAGGCTGGGCCAGATGGTCCAGACTCAGCTTTTTTCTCCTGACAGGGAGGGTCCAGGCCCATTTCATGTAGAGGAGACCGACTACCTGAAGTCAGTTGCCATCAGCCACAACTAGGATGGATGACCTCGAGTGAATAACTGACGCCTCCCGCCTCCCCGCCTCCCCGTCCCTCAGTTTCCTCCCCCATTAACAAGAGATAGAAACACTTGTCTTGCCAACCCTCTGGGGATGTTACAACTTCCAAGTGAGTTAATGTTTAAGAGACCTCAAGGGAAGAATAGAACACTGATCAAGAGCCAGGTAACAACAGGAGAATAGCTAGCCAGCATTTATTAAACAGCTGTTTCGTGCCAAGTGCTTTAGGATGATCTCAATTTGAACCTCACAAACACCCCACACCATTCTGTTATTAATCCCAGTTTATATACAAATAGAAAGATCACATAGCTTTCCCAGAGGCTCTCGGTCAGGAAGCAGGGAGTCAGGATGTGGACTCTGGCTGTCCGCCTCCAGACCCAAACTCAACAGGGAGGACCAGTCATTCAAGGGCCTGCTCTGCGTGAGGCCCAGTGCTCATCATTTCACCTATGTCAGCCCATTTCACCAGCAGGCGTACTTGGGTAGTATCATGACCATCTCAGCTAGCCTAGATTGTCAAGGAAGGGCGGCCCAGAAATGCCTGTTTCGGGCACATGCCCAGGGCTGCCCTCCTGACATTCAGAGCTTGGAGGAATCCCAGCACCGAGGAGGAATTTGGGGCCGCATACGGAGACATATTCCCATTCTCATGGCTCGCCAGTCTCCACATGGCTGAGGGGCACCCAGGCGGGTCCTACACACCCAGAGCGCAGGTGGGGTGCCCCAGCAGGCAGGCAGGCTCACTGGCTCAGCCATCTGAGCGCTGTGGGGAGACTCCCTCCAGCCACAGGCCCCGGAGCCCAAGGGCATCATGTGCTTTGTCCCACTAGAGTCGAGAGAAGGCTAGTAGACCTTTTGCAGGAGAGAATGTCCCTTCACACAGGACTCCCCCACTAGGTGGGTCCGAGGGCACAAAAGAACACGCACGACGGTATGTTCTTAATAAATGGATGTTGATTTTTCCGTGGTTTGTTGGGCATAGGAGCCCCTAACATCAAAGGACACTGGTCACCCAGGGAAGGAAGAATCCAGAAGTTCCCCAAACTTCCCCCCTTGTGTTGGCCACATGGCTTCCGCCTAGGGAAGAGTTAACTTTCGGCCGCTGGAGACAGCGACCTGCCCGCAGGAGCGGCCCAGCCAATGGCAGGCGGTGCCGATGACGTCATGCCGCTCCTGCGCCTCCTATTGGGGGCCGGTGGGCGAATCCCGCCGGCCGCCGGGGCAGGGGAGCGGCTGAGGCGGAGCGGGGGCCGCGGGGAGGGGGAAGGGCAGCGAGCCGGCCGCGCGGAGTTGCTCCTGCCCCATCCTCTGCGGGCCCCCCGCGCCTTCCGATGGGACCCGGGGGACCACCCCGCTCTCGGGCAAAGCAGAGCAGCTGCGGTGCAGAGGACAGGCCGGGGCGCCCAGTGCCGCGGGGGAGCACAGACACCGAGGCTGCCCACCGGGCACACGGGGACCGGGTGGCTGGGGCGAGGGGCCCCGGCGCGCTGGCTCGGGTGCACTCATGTGCCTGCCAGGGACGGTCGGGGCGGCCAGGGCAGCCGCTTCCTCGACGCACCCTGCCGCCCCCAGCCCAGACTCTCTGCCTTACCTGCCCGAGGACTGGAGGTCTCTCTCCGACCTGCTGCCCACGACTGCCCCGTCTGCTTCGCTGGGCTCCCTGTGGGCGGGAGGAAGAGGCTGGAAGAGCTGTGGGAACCCCCCGGGCCCAGACCCCCCTGTCCTGGCCGTGTTGGGCTGGGGGACCGGGGACTCCAGCCAGAGTCTCGGAGCACCTGCGAGCCCCCGCCCCCCGCGTGCTCTGATGGGAAACCTCTCTGGACCTCCCTGCAAATCCTCCCCGCCCTCCAGCCTCCCAGGAGGTCCAGGCAGCCCCTGCACCACCCTTCACCCCCTAGGTTCTCCTCTCTCCCCACCCCTGCCCATGGCCCCATCAGCTTCTCACGGTTGGACCCGGTTGGCGAACCGGCGGCGCCAGAGCATGGCCAAGGTGCTGAGTAGGAAGAGGGTGGTGCACATGGCTCAGCTGCCCCATCCCCTCCCGGACAGAGTCTGCAGGAAAAAGGCCAAAATGGCCCTGCCGGCTACTCTCACAAGCCACTGCTGCCCATCCTGAGGTTCCTGCTGCCACTGGATTAGGAGGCTCAAGCTGATTAGTGGGGTCAGCCGACCCGACCTTGTGCAGACTGATTAACCTCACTGGGCCCAAGTTGTCGCCTGTGGTGGCAGGGTAAATCAAGCTGTCCGTTCTGGATACAGATGTGACTAGGACCTGGGCCTAACCCTCAAGGGGCTTCTAGTCTAGACACTTGAGCTGGCAAGTCACATTAATGACCACAGTAGAGCGACTTGGGTGATGGGAGTCACCCGCAGAGCACTTTCGGAGTTGCATGTGTCAGGGAATGCTTGGGAGAGGAGCTGGGGACATTGGAATTTGCAGGTGTTCGAGGAAGGTTACCTCCCCACCCCCCCAACAGAAGACTCTTCCGGGGCTGCTGACACGAAAGCACAGAGCATGTTCCAGCAACTGGAAGTTGAGTGTTGGCAGAACAATGATGTCATGGAGAGCCATGGGGAGGGGAGGAAGAATATTAGATGATGAAGCCAGAAAGACAAGGGAGGCCAGGGAGTGGAGGGCCGGCTGAGCGGTTGCGTTCTCCCCTCTGGACAGTCCTCCCCAAATGTTACTGATTTCCATAGCCCCTTCCATAAAAGACTGGATTTAAGTGTGCACTCATGAAATAAGTATATGCATCTGCTCATACGTTAGATCTTCCACTTCTGTGCGAATACAGTCCTGCATAATAAACACACATAAGACTTGTAAAAGATGAGATAAAGCTAAATAGAAATACTAAATAGAAATAGCGAATACTTGCTTTCCCAGTGCAAAGCTTCTGAGCAGCCACTTGGAAGGGCACCGCATCGGGTGTCCTGTCAGGGGGGTTCAGTGAGGTGGCCCAGGCAGCATGTGGAGCACACAGGGGTCTGAGCATCCAGCCTCCTCCAGCCCTCTCCAAAAACCCCAGAGGTCTGCACTGGATTTTCCTTCCCTCCAAGGAGATGGAAGCCGTGTCAAGGGGTCTCCTGCCCAGGCTCCCAGGGAGGGCCAGAGCTGGGGCTGCACCTGGGCTCTCTACTTTGAAAAACGATTTTTAAAATACATAAGCCAAAGCGGAAGAGGTGAGCCGACCTCTTCTCGCACTTGCAGAGGGACACCAAGTCTTGAGAAGGGCGGGGTCGCGAGGGAGCAATGGGGAGAAGTGGACACTGGCATCAGGTTTGGGCTGGGAGTCAGAGGTGCCACCTGACCGCCCCGGGTCTGAACAGTTGCTTGCAGCAGGGGGGATCCTGTGGCTCTGAGCTCCAGCCCCCACCTCTGGCCCAGCGGCCCTCACACCTCGCTGAGCAGGGCCACCAGGCCGAGAATTTGTCTCCCCCATTCCCAGAACCTCAGCCATCGTAGCTGAGATGTCTCCAGGGCCTGGGCCTCCCCAAGATTTTTGACACCTTCCCCCCAGGACTTCTTTTTGCCCTGCCGGCTGCCTGGCCTGCGGACTTTCCTCCACCAGGGTCGGGATTCTGGGCAGCGCCTGTTTTTTTGCCTGCCTGTGTCATTAATAAGGCACCCAGGGACTTTTTTCCGACGCCCTGTGCACGTACGGGGGGGGGGGGGTGCGCTGGCCGGAAGGAAGGGGGGCCCAGGCCTCTGGCGCTGAAGTTCGACCGCCGGCCCCCATCCCCGCGGCGGCGGATTCCAGGACGGAATTGGAGCCGGGAGGCGCCCCCGGTCCCGAAGCCCCGGAGCCTGGGGTGCGGAGCTCCGGGAGCGGCGCAGGGGAGGGGCCGGGAGCGAGCGCGAGCTCAGCCGGGACCCCGCGCCGCCGGAGGGGCTGCGTCCGCCCCCTCGGGCGGCGTCGGCCGCAGACGCCTGGGAGTGTTTCACTTTGAGTCGGTTCCCCGCCGCGTGCACGGTGCGCTCCGGCACAGCGCCCGACCCCGCCCGCCGCGCAGCCCGACCCCGCGCCCCCGAGCCGCGCCCGCCCGCCCGCCGGGGCGCACTCCTGCACGGCCCGCGCGGCCCCGCGCCGCGCGCCCGCCCCCTCCCCCGGGGCCCCCGCGCTCCCACCACACCTACGCCCCACCCCGCCCGGCGGTCAAGGTCCGCGGTGGCCCGCGGGCGCCGGCCGCGTCGCCCCCACCCCGCCCAGCCTTCACCTTGCGGGAGCTGGCTCAGCGACGCGGGGCCGGGGGTTTGGAGCGGCTTTATTTTTTTTAACATTTTTCCAGCAGACCACATCCCCGCCCCCCGCTCGCGGTCCCCCGCCCCCCGCACATATACCCTGCACACACACACACACACACACACACACACACACACACACCCGGCGCGCACAGACAGACACGCTCCCTCCCTCCGGCGCGCTCTACCCCTCGCTCGCCAGCCCGCCCGCCGCGCACGCAGCCGGCCCGGCTCCCCGCGCCCGCGCCCCGCGCCCGCGCCCCGCCGCCGCCGAGCCAAGCCGGGCTGGGCTCGGAGCTGCTCATGGAGAAAGTGCCGGGCGAGATGGAGATTGAGCGCAGGGAGCGGAGCGAGGAGCTGTCCGAGGCGGAGAGGAAGGCGGTGCAGGCTACGTGGGCCCGGCTCTATGCCAACTGCGAGGACGTGGGGGTGGCCATCCTGGTGAGGTAGGTGTCACTCCGGCCGGCGGAGCCCGGGGGAGGGAGGACGGCAGCGGCTCGGGCAGGGGCGGGTTCGGCCGGGTCCGAGCTCGAGCTCCGGCGCCACCTCTCCAGCTGAAACTGGGGCCGGGCCTGCCCGGGGTGCAGGCAGCGTGGGGCGCCTTGCGGTGGGCGAAGCCCTGGCTGAGCCCGTCCTGGCTCTGGGCGGTGGGGTACGAACTAGGAGCCAGACGCAGAAGGAGGGCACCTCTGTCCCCCTCCTCTGGCCGGGGCCTCAGAACTCCTGGCTCCCTCAGGCGTGCCTTCCTCCCCGGCGACCCCAACCACCCAACCCAGCCGCCACACACATTTTACCAACCCTTCAGTTGGGGGCGCCCCATTTCAGAGGCGGGAAGACTGAGGCTCCGCCAAGCAGAGAGACAAAGAGGAGTGGACCCCTGTGCAGCTCGGCCCCTTTCTGTGTTCAAAGCCTCTGGGAAGGACAGAGCAAAGGGCCAGAGAATAGAGGTCAGAAGCAGTAGGTCACTGGGGTCCTCCTTTCCCAGCTGGCTCCTTCCTGCCCCGGGAGAGTAGGCCAGCAGGGAGTTCCCAGGTGAGGCCCAGGTGAGTGGAGAAGCAGCCGGTCCCTAGGGTACAATGCCTGCTGAGCATGGTGGAGGGAAAGCAAGAAGCGTCAGGAGTCAGGGCTCCACCCTGGAACCGCCACTTGAGGAGGAAAGGCCGTGTGTGTTGGGCTCGGGGGGTTACTCAGGTACCACATGCCCCCAAAGTGACACTTATTTACACATCTGCACATACCTGGTGGACACATACCATTCCTCTGTACTCCACGTCCCCAACCCCCACGAGCTAGTAACTGATTAGAGCCACAGATTGATGCTCTCTTCCCACACACGCGGGTCCCTGGGGCCCCAGACCTGCACTCACCCCCAACCCCCTGTCAGCGGCAGCAGCCGGATCTCAGACCACCGAGCAGGGCAGCCTGCTTATCTGGAGATGGGGTGAAGCCTCTTGCTTGTGGAAAGGAGAGTTGAAATGCATGCCTGCCTCCCAGTCCCAAGCCCCGGCTCTGGCTTCTCTGTCTCCCTGACTCTCTCTCCCTTCTGCCTCCCCCAAGCCTGGGACCTACCCGGCTCCGTAGCGATATGCCCTGATTCCAACTTGGAAACAGATTTTGGAGGAAAAAGAGCAAGAAGCACTCGAGAGTTTGAGGAGGATTCCAGAGGAAGGCTGCTATTTGGGCAGCCCCAAGACCCAGAAACATGGGGGCGGGGTGGGGAAGCTCCGAGGGGATTTCAGATGCCGAAGCCATCAGACATTCTGAGACACAGACCCTCACGTGGGAGCACCCACACGAGCACACGGTAGGTAGTGGCGTTACAGATGCGCCAGACACAGCCCTGGGGGGGGGGGTGGCTCTCAGCCATGCGTGCTGTGTGTCGGCGCCCGAGAGCCCACCAGGCCTCAGGATGCACCGGGTGAGCACATGGGTCACCAAAAGGAAAGGAGGCGGAGTCCACAGGGCCTTGGAGATTTTGTCTGGACACTCTGCCATTTGCCAGGGAGGGTGAGGAGGTGATGTGTCCAAGATCCAGCTCCTAGGATACCACCCAACCTCCCCCAGGAGTGGGGGGTGCAGAGGAAAGACCTGAACACTGTGGCCAGGGCTGTTTCTGGAGAGTCTGACATCTTGACAAGGTCTTTCCCTATATATGCCCCTGCTTGCACGGTTCCCCATTCCTGACTCTTAGGGAGGCTCAGTTTGGGCAGGTGGGGGTGGTGGCATCTACCCCTATGCTCTGTGCTCAGTGAGAGGCCCACAATTAATCCAGAAGGCCTGAGACAGCAGTGAGGTCCAGCCGGCTGGTCAGCCCAGGCCACATTCCACCAGACCCACCTCTGTGTTGGTCGGAGCCCAGCGCTGGCCCAGCTCCTCCCTGCCAGACCCGAGCCCCACCAGCCTGCTCCCTCTGGGTCTCCTCCTGCTCTCTGCCCCCCAACCTGCCAGGTGGGGGAGAAGATTGGTTAAAGGGGCTAGAGGGCAAGATTGATAAGCCTCTCCGGTGTCCCAAAGGCCCCTCCCCAGATCCTGTGCCCCCCAACTTTTATCACACACACCTCCCCAACTTCACACACATCCACAAGGACAGGCGCAAGTGAGAGCCTGAGACACTGAGTCCTCTGGCCCATCACTCTCAGGTCCTCCCTCCCTGCTGGGCTAAGGCCAGCTGCACCCCCACGCCCTACCCCCCCACCCCAGCCCCAGGAGTCCACAGCCAGGAAGGGGGTGGCAGTGCTGGTGGTGGTGGAAAAGCTGTCTTGGGGTCGGAGCCAGACCCCACACCTGCACTCCAGTGGAGAGGGAACACCCATGCTCTAGGAAGACTCCCCTCCCGGTTGTAACTCTGCCACCTTCCCCCCTCACACTCAAGACAAGCCTATTTCAGGCTCTGTTGGAAGCCCAGATGCCTCTGGGAGCTGAGAAACTCCCCAAGGCTGGCTGCTGAGGCTTCTCCTCTGTAGGCAGCGCAGCACAGCACAGGCCCGGACCTGGAGGGTCGGGAGTGCTGGGGCTGGGGACAGAAACCAGAAAGAGGGAGCGGAGCACGTGGCCCCCAGACTCCCCTGGTGCAGCAGAGGGGCTCCCTGGGACTGTCATTCCTCAGGGCCATAATGGCCCTGGGTGTCGAGGCAGGAGACCCGTTGGGCCCCAGGCCCCCATCTCCCTGGCACAGCAGTCTCTCCGAGGCAGGATTCGGAAGCCATCAAGGCAGGGGATGTCTGTCTGTCTTCCTGGCCCTGCCACCCACTTTGCTGGGCAACCCTGGGCATAGATTCCTAAAACAGAACGCGGAGATAAAAACAGTGCCAAACTCAGGAGGCTAGTGCAGGATTAATGACACAATCTAGTAAGTGCTCAGTAAGTCTTCCTTGTTAGCTCCTCATCAGTAAAATGGATATAACAATGCTTGCTTGGTTGTGGCAATTATTTTTTTTAAGATTTTATTTATTTATTCATGAAAGACACAGAGAGAGAAGCAGAGACACAGGCAGAGGGAGAAGCAGGCTCCACGCAGGGAGCCCGATGTGGCACTCGATCCTCGATCCTGGGATCACGGCCCAAGACAAAGGCAGACGCTCAACCGCTGAGCCGCCCAGGCATCCCCGGTTGTGGCAATTAAGTGAAATAACAGGTGGAGATGTTTTGCACATTGGAACGCACCAGGCAAACAGCGATCATTATTTTTATTGCAATGTGAAGTGCCCAAAGTCTAAGATAATATTCATTTAGGTCCAGATTGGGTTCTTTACATTTGTCCTTCATATCGTGCGTCTCCAGAAAAATCCAACGTATTTTCAGACTCATTGCCTCATTTGTCCTCACTGGTGTATCTGTGAACTATCGAGTGGGAGGAACTCCTCTCACACTTTTGCAGAGGGGAGGTTGTGAAGTGGTTTGCCCAAGGTCACCCTTGGTCTCCACATGGACTGCGTCCTCGCCACTCCCCCGCCAGCAGCAGCTTTGTCGCCTGACGGGATGGACTGGGCCAGAAGCTCTCTCTGCATCTGTTCCAGCTCTCTGGCCAAAGGGCTGATTTGGCAAATTATCAGTTTTCTCCGATCGCAAATGAGGATACTCCAGAGGTGTGAGAGAACCTAACAAAACAGGCCCAAGACATTCCGTACATTTTCTGAAGTTCTTTTTTTTTTAAATTTATTTATGATAGTTACACACACACACACAGAGAGAGAGAGAGGCAGAGACATAGGCAGAGGGAGAAGCAGGCTCCATGCACTGGGAGCCCAATGTGGGACTCGATCCTGGGTCTCCAGGATCGCGCCCTGGGCCAAAGGCAGGCGCCAAACCGCTGTGCCACCCAGGGATCCCCCCGTTTTCTGAAGTTCTGATCGAGTGTGTGTGAGTGTGTACCTGTACCTCCTGCAACGCCCAGCTCTGCCAGGGAGAGAGAACGCAAAGGGCATCCGTGTCATCTTGCGGACCTAGGGCCCTGGGCTGAGGGGATGGGTCACAGCAGGTGTGAGACCCAGGCCCTGCCCTTGGGTCGTGGGACCCAGTCCAACAGGCAGGAAGGGAAGAAGCGGTAAAAGGTGGCGGGAACCCCTAATGGCCTTAAAGGGACAGCCTGGGCACAGCGGGGTAGGAGGGGCAAGTCCAACGCAAGAAAGAGTGGGAAGGAAGGCTGGCCTCCCCGAGGAGTGTTTTACCATCAGTGACTGGGCTGGAGGAAGGTGGCTGAGTTGGGACAGTTTGTAGGAAGCCTGAGATCCCAGGTTAAGGATTTTGACTTTGTCCAGTAGATAGTGGGGCGCCACTGAATGTGAGCATGAAAGTGACCTAATGAAAGTGATATTTGGGGGGAATTAGGCCATTTCAGGTAAAGTGGAGAGGGAAGGAGAGCGCTAAAATGACCTGGGGTCTGCCCCAGGACGTGCACGGGCTTCTTGGAGAAGCGAGATGTACAGATGTGAAGTAATGACGGACTCACACCAGGAGGGTAAGACCAGTCCGGAGCTGTAATTAAATCAGCCCATCAATAAGCGCAGCAGGCAGAGGAGGGAAGCAGGTAGGGAGGGGGGAACAGACGGAGCTGGCGGGAGAACTGTCCCGTGTTTCTTCCCTCCGTGACTGGGTGACCTGAGCCAAGTCACTCGGGCTTTACTTTTTGCAAAGAGAGCTCTACCTTGATCACGACCCACTGGCATTGACTGAGCACCCGGTGTTCACACTGTGCTGAGGACTCCACACGCGGTTTCCCAGTGCATCCTCATGGCAAGCTAGGAACAACCATGCCCGTTGCATGGACGAGGACACAGAGACTCAGAGAAGTGCCACTTATCCGAGGTCACGCTGGCCCCGGGGCCCAGAACTAGAGCTCTGGCCCTCTCTGCTGTGCCTGGAGCAGGCCTTGAGGGTGGGTGGGGCTGGGAAAGGAGGCCACAGCAAGAAAGACAGAAGCCTGGGAGACAGGGCTGACAGTCTGTGCAAGTCTGGCCCACAGATATGGCCAGGACCCGGGTCGGGGCGGCCGTGCCAGCTCGGCCAGAGGGAGGGTCTGTGTCTGGGGCCCGCTACACACGGTGGTGAAAGAGTTACTGGTCCTGCCTCTCCTACCCCGCACCTCCACCACCCTGGCACCTTGGGGTGGGCTCCCTGGTCACCCCAGCCACCTTGGGTGGGTCCCCCGTCACCTCGACCACCCAGCCATCTCGAGGTGGGCTTCCCCTGTCACCCCAGCCACCTCGGGGTGGGCTCCCCCCATCACCCCGGCCACCTTGGGGTGGGCTCCCCACATCACCCTGGCCACCTCGGTGTGGGCTCCCCCCATTACCCCAGCCACCTCAGGGTGGGCTCCCCCCATCACCCTGGCCTTCTTGAAGTGGACTCCCCCATCACCCAAGCCACCTTGGGGTGGCTCCCCACGTCACCCTGGCCACCTCAAGGTGGGGCCCAGGCAGCCCCGACTTGAGCACCCCCGCCCTCCCGCCAGGTTCTTTGTGAACTTTCCATCGGCCAAGCAGTACTTCAGCCAGTTCAAGCACATGACGGAGCCCCTGGAAATGGAGCGGAGCCCCCAGCTGCGGAAACACGCCTGCCGGGTCATGGGGGCCCTCAACACTGTCGTGGAGAACCTACACGACCCGGAGAAGGTGTCCTCTGTGCTCGCCCTTGTGGGCAAAGCCCACGCCCTCAAGCACAAGGTGGAGCCCGTGTACTTCAAGGTAGGTGGCTGTGCCCAATCCTCCACCCGCCCTGCTCTGGGAGCACCACTGGGGAACAGAGGGGACCACTGGGCAGCCCAGCCTCTCCCCCCTAACCCCCACGTGGTTGTGACAGGGAGGGGGCTGCAGGATCGGGTGGGGGCTGGGTCTCAAAGTTGCCAGGCTGTCCTGTTGTGAACGATCCCCTTGGCCAAACCCTGTCCAGAAGGGGTGCTGGGGGCCTTGGGGGCTTCGGGGGTGAGGAGGCAGGGCAACCAGGTGTTTACTTCTCCCTCCTCCCTTTGCCCCCAGATCCTCTCTGGGGTGATTCTGGAGGTGATCGCCGAGGAATTTGCCAATGACTTCCCACCTGAGACGCAGAGAGCCTGGGCCAAGCTGCGTGGCCTCATCTACAGCCATGTGACCGCTGCCTACAAGGAAGTGGGCTGGGTACAGCAGGTCCCCAACACCACCACGTGAGGAGGGGTGAGGGTGGGCCGGACAGCCTCCCCGCCATCCTCCCCCGCCCCCCGGTCTCCCATCTCTGCTGGGGCACAGGAGCTGACTGCTGGGGCAGGAACTCTTCGGGAGGCTAGGTCTGGGGTCTGACGCGTAAGAAGAGGCATAATGGGAAAGGGCCGGGCCCCTACTAGATAGAGGCTGCTCCGAGCCATGAGCCCCAAACAGATTCTCCTGGGGTAGAGCCATCCCCTTCCCTAGAACACAAGAGCACTCAGAGCGGCCCAAGACCACAGCCACCCAGGGCAGAGAGGCCCTAAGAGGTTCCTGGCGGGAAGGCTAGCTCATCGGGCCCAGAGGCAGGCCAGGCTAACTCCCAGCCACTTCCTCCCCGGGTACCAATCACATGGGGCTGTTTGTCAGCTAATGCTGACCAGTGCTCCCTCCTGCCTCTGCCTCAGCAGGGTCGGAGCCAGGAGAATCACGAGGGTGTGTGCACACACGTGCACATGCCCAAGCGCACAAGGGGCCTGCGTGGGTGTCGCTACCCCGCACACACCTTCAGGGGTGTTTACTTCCAGGCTGACCCTAGAGGCCAGGTTCCCAGTTCTGGGGTGAGGGCCGCGGAGATGGGCTCGAGGAGGGTGGCCAGCCTCAGGGACTCCAGCGGACTCGGAGCTCGAGGGGAGGGCTGGCCCCCAGACATGGTGGCTGGGAACACTCCGGCCTGCCCAGGCCCCCAAGGGGCAGGCAGCTCTGGGAGCTCAATGGAGGGGCGGAGGCAGGGCTGGAGTAGGAAGGAGAGAGAGGAGCGTAGGCGGGAATGGGAAGCAGGGGTCAGCCAGCGGCTCAGGACACGCGTTGTCGAGAAACATTCCCAGCAGTTTCCCATGGAAAAGGCGCGTCTGCTCCCCGGGCTCCGAGCGGCCCACGGACCTCCTGGACCTCCTGCTCGCAGGCCTCGGGGCCCAGCTCTGGAGGAGGTCCCCCGAGGGCGGCCTTGGGAGGCCGGGCCTCCTGACCTTCCTGCTGCTGGCCACACGGGCCCCAGCTTGCTCCTGCTCCCTTCCCCCACATCGGCACCACCCCAGGAGAGTAGAAATCTCGGGAACTTCTGGCTACAGCCCGGCAAGGAGGCCAGATGTGCACAGCTGGGCCCTGGCCTGCCCCAGATCCCCAGGCGGGGAGGGGGATTTGGACGGGAAGCAGATAGAAGATCTTTACCTGCCGCAGGAGGTGCTGGCAGAGCCGGGGTGACTGCCGGAAGCAGACGGCGGGCCAGGGAGGGTCAGTGGGGGAAGGGGCTTGCCCTCCCAGCCTCCACCCAGGCCGGAGAGGCCGGCTCAGCTGCCAGAGATGAGTTTGTTTACAGCCAGGAGACAAGACTTCCTGCTTCTAGAGAAAAGGGCTTTTTTACAGAGGCCCTAGAGGGACCGGAGAGGGAGAAGGAGAGAGAGCTGGCCAGTCCAAGTCCCCGTGAATCAGAAACACATGGTCCGCGTTTCCCGACACGAAGCCCTGTCCCCTCCCATGTCTTGCCCCGGCTGGACCCTTGGGACTGACGTCTCACCAAACCCCAAACATTAAGAAACCACCAGAATCTCCGTCTGCCCGGTCCTGCTCCTCGTGGAGGGAATGGATGGGCTGCAGCCAGGATTGGCTGAAGCCCTGCCTCCATCGGTCCTGAGCATCTCAAATTTGGGTCTCTCCCCACCCCAGCTGGGAAGTCCTGAGGGTTGTCCCCTCATCCTTTTGCACACTCACCCCCCCTCCAACCCGGCTCTGATCTCCTGAAGGCATGGGTTTGGGCCCCCAGAAGGCGTGTCTCCCTGGGCCCGGGGCCTACACACTCAACCTATAGCCAGGGTCCAAATGGGTTCAGATAGTGGGAGGGAGTCACAGAGCAGAGTTCTAGAAGGCCTCCGTCCAGCTTCTCTTATCAGGGAAGCAGTGGTGGGCCAGACGCCACTGTTTATTGAACTGTCTCTGCTTACGGGTGTGTGTGCATTTTTTTTGTGGGTGGGGGAGTCAGGACGTTGGCGGGGGGGGATGGTGGTGAGCACAAAGGGGCTGCAGGGCTGAGAATGCCTATGGGCAGCAAGAAGGGCACCCAGACAGGCCAACCGGGGAGGACACGGGTCTCAGGATTAATAGAAAAAGAGCTGACGTTGGAAAGGTTCTTTGCAGTTTGTGAAGTAGGTTCACACAGTTGATGTTACTCCATCCTCGGAGAGGTAGTAGGCAAGGCAGATGTTATCCACATGTTGGAGAGAAAGATCTGGGGTTCAGGAGGGCCCCCTGATTGGTCTGAGGTCACGCAGCAGGTTCCTAGCAAAGAGGGAGCTAGAACTTGGGTCTGGTGGGGTACTTTCAGCGGCAGTGTGCTGGGTCCCGGCAGCGAGCGTCCTACCTTGCCCTCCCCTGATCCCTCTCCCCTGACCCCCACGCTCCTTGGCCCCATTCCGTGCCTCTTGTAACCTCTTACCTCCATCTCCTCTCTCGTCCACAGCCCACCGGCCACGCTGCCCTCTTCGGGGCCGTAGGACCCCCTCTCTCCTCCCCCCTCCCAGGCAGCACCTTGAGCAGAAGGCTGAGTTCTGAAGACCCTCCTTGACCCTCCATCTCTGGGTGCCAAGGAAGCTGAAGAATCCCTGACTCGTCTTCCCAGAAAGAGGCAGCCTCTGCTGTGGCCACGGTCCCCACTGGAGCCGCCGGGCGGTGGCGCTGGCTGCCTGGAGGCTGACCCCAGCTCAGCGGCCTGTGGGGCGGGGGACGCCTCCTCCTCCAAGAGCTGGGCCCACTATTCTTAGCTTTTCTACTCTCTGTCAGAGACCTAGCTGGGCAGCTGGCAGGAGTCCGGGGCAGGTCCGAGTCTGTCCAGGAATACACCAGCCCCGTCTCTATCTGCCCGACCAGCATGCAGGTCCCATCACCTATCTAGAGCATCACGCACACTCACCTACCATATATACAGATATATTCTATATACGATCTATATATAAAATATATAAATATATATATACATACATATCTATACTGTGTATCTGCGGGGGCCCAGAGGCACATGTAAAGCCTTGGTTTTGCCCACCTGCGTGTGGGGCAGGGAGGGGTCCTGCTCATGCTTCTAAGCAGAGGACGGAGTGTTCTGGCGGAGATGGGAGTCCCACCTTAGCACAGAGAGGATCTATGCCTGTGGGCAGGGTTGGGGTGACCCAGGGGCCTGAGTGAGCAGGGTTGGGGTGACCCAGCTTGCCGGCAAAGTCCAGCCCATTCTCTGACCAACTCCCCACATTCCTGCTTTCCACTTCTAAGTAAAATGGAATTGGCTTTCCCCACCTCTATCTCCCTGCCCCCAAAAGGATGTGGCCCCTGACTCTCCAGCATGGGCAAGGGCAGACTGAGGGGCTGGCAGTGTGCGACAGGATGACAGCCCTGGGGGAGGGGCCGTGGTCTAGAAACCTCGAATGCCAGCCCCATCTGCCTTTGCTGCTAGGAGCCCAGCGGGAGTGGGGCCCCACGCTGCTGTCAGTGATGACAGGCCAGATGCCTCCATCCCGTCCTGGCGCTCTGTGGGCCGAGGGCTGAGGGCCTTCCCTCCCCGCCCCCCCCCCCCCCCCGCTGCTGGCTGGCAGATGGTCCTGTCCACCCATCTGGGTCAGAGTTGCTGGGGACCCCCCCCTCCATGTGTGCCCCTTGGTCACGTGTGCCATCCTCAAGGATGCCTAGCTACTGTGGCTGCTGTGCCTGTGTCCCCTCCTGTCCCATCCTCGTGCAGCCATGCGTGTAACTGCCTGTCCTTTTGTAGTTTCTGATGTTTGTAACCAGACCCAGCCGTGTCATTAAACAGACTCGCTCTTCCCATGTCTGTGCTACTCGTTCTGTCTTTTCCTGCCAGCTGCCCCTCGCCTCTGCCTCCCCTCCTTCACTCGGGGCTCAGGGCTTTTCTGGAGAGCCACCCCAGGGACCCCTCACTTGTGCCTCAGCCGTAGCTGGCTGAGGCTCCTCTGAGTCCGGGTTTACAACCGGAGCAGACACCCCGACCCGTTTTAATCAGAAGCACAGGGCCGGAGATTGGGCTTTGGAGGGCCAGGAAGGGTGTTTGTGCTTGTTTTTGAAAAGTCATGGGACTTTTCATCTTTTGTTCTGGAAATCTTCTCTTTGGGGGAGGATAAGATGACTGAGGGAGGAATCAGGGGGAGATGTTCAGGAAGAAGGGCTCTGCTGGTCTGATGCTCCAGGGAGAGAGTCAAGGATCGGCCCCCACCTGCCAGACCCGAGCATTGGGCATTCCGCACCGGGAGAGCAACGTTCCTGGAAGTGCCAAGGGCGCTTGAGAAAGGAAGGGTGCTCATACCGCCTGAAATTTCTAGCACCTTCCCCAAGTTCTCAGCTCCCAGACCTCCTTCCCAAGTCCTGTATCCTGCATCCCACAGCCGCAGGCCAGCCCGCCCAGCCCCCACTCACTGAGGGAGGCCACAGCCAAAGCATCAACTCCCTGCTGAGGGACCAGGAGGTCACCACCCCTGGGTGGGCTGCAGGAGAAGCAGGAAGCAGCCTCCGCCCCTTGGGAGGGCTCCTGGCTGCCTGGAAAGATTCAGCTGACTGTACAGGGAAAGTCTTGTCTCCCAGACCACGAACTCCTCGAGTGCAGGCTACGGCTTCATCTCCCGGGCCTGGCACAGCAGAGGTGCTCAGTAGAAATCCAAAGAATAAATGAATACCACTCATAGAGAGTAAGACGAGGACATGAGGCCAAGAGTGAGCTGTGCAAACAAGGCATAAGTGCAGAGTGGAGAGGACGGCATCAGGCAAGGCTCTTCAGGGAAGCGGCGCTGCAGGATAGAGTGCTGGGCTCTGGAGCCAGACTGCCTCCTGATGCTGTGCGACTTCGGGCAAGTCACTCAGCCCTTCTGAGCTGCATGGTCACCTCTAATTTAAAACAGGAGTGAAAGGGCAGCCCAGTTGGCTCAGCAGTTGAGCGCCTGCCTTCCGCCCAGGGCCTGATCCTGGAGCCCCGGGATCGAGTCCCACATCGGCTCCCTGCATGGAGCCTGCTTCTCCCTCTGGCTGTGTCTCTGTCTCTCTCTCTCTCTCTGTGTGTGTCTCTCATGAATAAATAAATAAAATCTTAAAATAAAATAAGAGTGAAATAAATAAAATAGGAGTGAAGAAGGCAGGTACGGGAGGAGGAGGATGTAAGCCAGCCATAGTACTGGGACGTGGGCGTGCTCGGGACGGGGTGACTTGACTAGCAGGCCATGGGAAGCAGCAAATGGAAGGAGGAGACAGGGTGGGCTGGCCAAGGCCAGTCTTGAGAGAGGAGGGACAGAGATGGAAAGAGGAAGGCAGTGAATGAAGGAGGGAAATCACAGGAAGTGGGGCAAAGGACAGGGAGGTGGACGCAGGCCCTTGGGGGCCTGCCCGTGCTGGGCCTGCTGGCCACTGGTAAGTTCAAGCTGAGCCAGAGAGGGAGGGCTGGGGGAGCTGTGGGAGGCAAGGGGGCCTCTGTGGGCGTGTGGGGGAGAGCCCCTGGGAAGAAAGACACCCCCCCCTCACTTCAGTTGGCTTATGTGGCAAAGGGGCTTCTGAACCAGACAAAACTGGAATCATTCTGGAATGTGGCCCTTAAGAAAGTTTATCTTTGATCCCCACCTCCTAGACAGGGGACAAGGACAATTAGCGACTCCCCCCAGACCTGGGCTAGAGATGCTGCTGGGTAGGGGTGGGGCGTGGAGGGCAGCTGGGCAGGGCCCAGGTGCCCCCAGGGGGCTCTCTGTCCCCAGGGTAGGGGCCCAAGGCCTAGGCTTTTGTGCTCTACACTCAGCGACAGCCTTGTCGCTGGAGAGCTAAGCAACTGGGCCAGTTCCGCTTGGCTTGCCCGGGCTGCAAGGGATGGGGTGTAGGGAAAGGGGGTGCCCAGGCTGCGGCTCCTTCCCGGCCCAGCGGCCCTGGCCACGCAGCCCCACAGCGCCCCCTGCTGGCCGATGGGCGGGACCCTCACCGGAGGCCGCGCACAAGCGCCGGCGACCTTCCCCTTGCCCCGGGGGCACACCTGCCACCCTGGCTTTAAAGGACGCATCCCAGGCAAAAAGGAAAAATGTGAGCTCTCGTGCCTATTCACAAAGATTTCCTCCCATATACTGGACCAAATGGAAAAAGTGAATAAATGCTCTGTTAAAAAAGGGGCTATAGGGACACTTGGGTGGCTCAGTGGATGAGGGTCTGCCTTCCGCTCAGGGAGTGATCCTGGGGTCCCACGTCGGGCTCCCCACGGAAAGCCTGCTTCTCCCTCTGCCTGTGTCTCTGCCTCTCTCTGTGTCTCTCATGAATAAATAAATAAAATCTTAAAAAAACCAAACAGACTATATACAAAGCATCCCAGGCTCCACTTTGTCAACATGGACAGAGTCACTCATTTCTGGTGGCTCCGGGTGTCCCTCAGCTTGTGGTTGCCTCACTCACCCCAGCCTCAGCCTCGTGGCTGCATGGCCTTCTCTGTGTCAGCCTAAACCCAAGATGATCTTATCTCGAGACCTTTAACTCAATTACCTCCGCAAAGACCCTTTCTCTGAGGAGGCAGGTTCCTGGTGGACGTGAATTTGGAGGCTTCCACTTAGCCCACTACACCCATTAGGGGAGGAAGGAGTAATGGGATAAGAAGGGACTCCGTGTGACTTGGGGGGGTTAGAACCTGCTGCCCCTCCTATATGCCAGACACTCGCTGGGCTGGGCCATACTGGCCTGGCCGGGCCCTGCTCTGGGAATTGTCCATCCTTCGGGGGGAGGAAGAACTTGGGAACAAGTGTGTGAACAGTAGGGGTAATTTCAAACCAGTGAGGACAGAGTCTTCGGAGGCAGGAGAGAGCTCCTCTACATGGGCCTCTCTGTTCTCCTCCAACACCTTCAGAGCTGCTCCTCATGACCCCATTTTATGACCCAAGAGCTGGGTTCAGTTAACAATGCCCACAGTCACAGGGCAAAGCAGGAACCCCAAGCTGATCCCAAAGTCTGAGCCAACACCCCTATCCCATTAGCAGAGAAATGCAGAGCAAAGCACACAGAGCAGAAAAAAAGCCACCACCCCTGGCCTGGCCTCCTCACCACCCTACTGCCTCCATGGTCTGTCTCCACTCAGCAGCCAGGCAAGGCTTTCTCCAATCTTGTTGGCTCCAGCTCAGACCTCCCACTGACCTCCAGGTTCTAGATAGCCTTCCAGGGTCTAGAAGCCCCTATAAAAGGAGCAGCAAATAATGGGGGAGGCTAATAAAGTTGAGAAGGGACCTGGGATCTGAGACTGTGGAGAGAGATGGGAAGGCCCCGCAGAGCTTCAGAGAGAAAGAGTGAGTGTCCACAGACCTTGTGTCCTCAGTTTCTCTATCCTAAACTGAGATCTGGGCCTATGGAGGGCGCTCAGGTGTTTCTAGCTTGGGAGGAGTGGTGGGATCCAGACTCTGCATTCACTTCTACATCCCCTTGAGTCATGGGAAAGACTTTGGGAGCCTGAGAGAGCAAAGCTCCTCAGAACAGCTTTTGGGAGCACCTGGGTGGCTCAGTAGGGTAAGCATCTGCTTTCACTCTGGTCATGATCCCAGGATCCTAGAATTGGGCTCCCTGATTGATGGGGAACCTGCTTCTCCCTCTCCTGCCTCTTGCTTGTGTTCTGGTTTTCGTTTTCCTTCAAATAAATAAGCAAAATCTTAAAAAAAAAAATAAAATAAAATCTTAAAAAAAAAAATGGGACACCTGGGTGGCTCAGCGGTTGAGCGTCTGCCTTCAGCTCAGGACGTGACTCTGGGATCCAGGATGAGTCCCACATCAGCCTCCTTGCATGGAGCCTGCTTCTCCTCTGCCTGTGTATCTGCCTCTCTCTCTCTCTCTCTGTCTCTCATGAATAAATAAAATCTTTAAAAATAAATAAATAAATAAAATAAAATCTTTAAAAAAAAAAAAAGAACAGTTTTTGTGTTTCTTAGGACAGAGGGTGGGCAGCACCATTTCAGACTGGTGTCAGGGAACCCATGCTGGTCCAGATTTGCCCTGCCTCCCTGTGTGACCCAGGACTGAGTCCCAGTTATGGCAGGCTAAGATGAAGGGCCAGGTGACAGCTGAGGCCCACAGGCCCTTGAACTGTTCCTTTTCCTGCTGAGCCCAGAGTCTCCCCAGGAGACACTTCCAGGGGCCCCAGGGAACTAAAAGCCTAGCAGTGACCAGCATCCCCACAAGTGCAGCAAAGGTCAGGACTCCAGGCACAGGGTAGTGCACTGGGAGGTCAAGGACCAGGATCCAGGAGGAAGAAAAATACAGACCAAATATTTCTTTTTCCTTTCCTCCTCTTTATGTTTTTTTTCTTTTTCAATTATCGAAGTTTACATTTATATATTCTCACTGTAAATGATTCCAGAAATACTGTAAATTTAACATTAAATATGACAGGGGTGCCTAGGTGGCTCAGTCAGTTAGGAGTCTGATTCTTGATTTCAGCTCAGGTCTTGATCTCAGGGTCATGAGCACAAGCCCCGTGTTGGGCACACAGCTTACTGAAAGAAGGAAAGAAAGAAAGAAGAAAGAAAGAAAGAAAGAAAGAAAGAAAGAAAGAAAGAAAGAAAGAAAGAAAGAAAAAGAAGTGACAGACTCTCTCCAGGGGCTCTATAGAGTAGAGGCTGCCCAGGAACACACGCCCCATCGGCCAGCGGCAAGGCCTTGAGCAGATGACTTAAATTTACTGTGTCTCAGGTACTCATCTGTACAATGGGCCGTTGGCAGGGTGAAATGAATTCACACGTTTACAGAAAGCATTTGGGCAATACCTGGTGTTCCTGGGCATCTTGAGCAATTTATGCAAATGGCACCATAAGGAACGATGGTGGACACATACATGGCACATCTCCTTTGCTCACATACACACTCCTCCGTTGTCCCATTGGTTCACTTACAAAACACAAGTTCAAAGGTAGAAGTATTAGCCAAACAGCAGAGCATGAAATCTGATACCATAGCCCTTCTGGGGCGCCTGGCTGGCTTAGTCGGTACAGCATGTGACTATTGGTCTCAGAGTTGTGAGTTCAAGTCCCATGCTGGGTGTGGAGATTACTTAGAAGTAAATAAAATAAAATAAAATAAAATAAAATAAAATAAAATAAAATAAAATAAAATAAAAAAGCCTTTCCGAGCTCAGGGCCCTGGGCTACCGTCCAGGTCACATGCCCATGAAGCTGGCCCTGCCTCTGGACAACAGCCATTGGGGAGTGAACCTGCCACTGAGCTTGGAAGTGGATCATCCCTTAGCCAGGCTTGAGAGGCCCACAGGCCCAGCTAACGCTTCGATTATAGCCTCGCAAGAGACCCTGAGTCAAAGAACCTAGCTAAGCCATGCCATACAATTCCTGACCCAAAGAAACTGTGAGATAACAGTGTACGTTGTTTTAAGCAGCTAAGTTTGGGCTAACTTGCTAGGGCAGCCATAACTAACAAACACAGCTGGCATTCTTTTGGAAAGCACAACTTTTCTTCCCCCAAAGTAGGGTTATTTGGTTACTTTGAAACACAGTTCCTACTGAAAAGACAGGATAGATGCTTAAGCTTTCCCCTCTATTTACCTTTATTATTATTTTTAAAATCTCTACACCTAATGTGGTACTCAAACTCACAACCTCAAGATCAAGAGTCACACATTCTACCAACGAAGACGGTCAGGGCCCCGCACCAATTTTCGAAGTAGGATATTGGTTTATTTTTTTATTTTATTTTATTTATTTTATTTTTTTTTAATTTTTATTTATTTATGATAGTCACAGAGAGAGGGAGAGAGGCAGAGACATAGGCAGAGGGAGAAGCAGGCTCCATGCACCGGGAGCCCGATGTGGGATTCGATCCCGGGTCTCCAGGATCGCGCCCTGGGCCAAAGGCAGGCACCAATCCGCTGCGCCACCCAGGGATCCCTGGTTTATTTTTTTAAAAAAGATTTGATTTATTTATTTGAGAGAGAGAAAGAGGGCACAAGTGGAGGGAAAGTCAGAGGGAGAGGGAGAAACAGAGTCCCCGCTGAGCAGGGAGCCTGATGCAGGCC